AGCCTAGTTTCCAGCTGGGGGAGGCAGACCACAAACGGGGCCTGCTGGGCCTGGATGGCACAGGGTTTTCAGTCTCACGTGTGTCTGAAGTAGAGATGGGGCCACCGAAGGAAGCTCCTTAGGGAGTCTACTCCCCAGTCTTATTAATGACACTAATGGAGAGAGGTAAATTTAATCCAATTATGGCACCCAGAGCTAAGTGCTTAGATTCAACCAGGGCACTGGGGTGGGACCCATGACTGAACCCTGGTGGCTTTTTGTTTTTAATGAGAAAACCATATTTATCAATCACGATTCACCAAGGGCACTTTATTAAATATCCACAGCTTACGTTGACATCTGTCAGCAGAGAAATCTTATACATTGCTCTCATTAAGAAAATTAGTACTTTTGCAAGGTAAATTTAGTTCCTTCAAGTAGCATATTTGCTAATTCTCCAGTAGGGTTTGGTTTTACTTAGCTATTGAAGACAAATCTCTCTGAAATTTATCCATTAAATCAGGTGGGCACAAAATTTATTCTCTGCACATAAGAGACACAGACGGAGATGGTTACTTGCTCCCTGTCTTGTCATGAACCACCTTGGGACTCTCCCAGCAGGAATGCCATCACCAGGGGTCAAACAATGGTGGCCACCGATCTTGGCCTTGAAACTCTAAAACTGGGAGCTAAGTCAACCTCTTTTCTTCATAAAGGAAGGCTGCCTCAGGCACTTAGAGTAACAAAAAGCTGCCTAATGCTGACACTGAGAAGTGACGGAGGAGGGAAGTCGGGCGTGTGGGGTAACAGAGGTGGGTTTCAGGAGGGAGGGGACAGCTGAGCAAATGCAGATGAGGTCAAGCAACATAGAGAACTGACCACTGCTGCTGGAAAGAGGCATTCGTCCAGTGGGAGCTGTTCAGAGGAGCAGTGAAGGCAAAAGCTATGTCCTGGTTTTCATTTCGGCACACTTCACCCAATGCCACCCACACCACCACCAACGCGACCCTGTCCTAGTTTGCTCCGTTTCATGTGACCCCTGATCCACGATCCCTTGCAGGGTGACTTAAATATCTGGTGTTGACTGGGACTCTCTGGATGTGGTCTTACACCCTCCACTCAAGTCCAGGCGCTCAGGCTGTTGGACCAGGCCGGAACTCTTTCTGTGAAAGGTGTCCTGAGGGCCAGATCCTGGCTCTGGAGAGTAGTGTTTCTTTGGGCCAAGCTGACCATGAGACAAAACGAGTGAACTCCACTCAGTGCCTGTCCACTCTGGACCCCTCTGAGGGGCCCCTCAGTGGACGGCTGCTCTGACATTCCTGTGTTCAGCCTGTCTCTGCCTGTCTACTTAGCACTGTTCGTCCTTCACAGCTCAGGAAAAATTAGCAAGAACGTTAGTGACTCTGATTTTAATTTGTCTAGCACTCTTGTTAATGATGTCTATTTAAGACATCCATTAAAGGCCCATGAGGTTAATTAAATGGACAATTCCAATACGGTTCTATTAGAACCCCCTCTATTAAATTAATATTATAGACATTTAACAGATGTCTTAATTAGGCATTATAGCTAAGCAATGCAAACTAAATTAAAGCTAAAGCCATTGTCCAGAAAGAGGCTTTTAGCCATAATTTATAGCTTTTCGGAGGAATGTTCATGTTTACTCTTTAGAACCTGAGAGATCGCTTGTTTGATGATCTTTTCCAGTATCCAGAAAGTGCTGGCCCCACAGTCTGCAATCTTAAATCGCAGCCCAGATGTCAGAGCTGGAAGAGACTTTAGGCACCATCTGGAGTCCACCATCCTCAAACATCGGTGATGGCAGGAAGCAGCTGGGGTCTTGATAAACACGCAGCTCTCCGGGTCCCACCCCGGGAGCTGGCTGCTTTGGACTCGAAGCCTGCTGACTCCGATGCAGGAAGCTTCAGGACGGCATTCCAGGAGAACTGGACCTAGTCACAAGGCCCCACTTGATGGATGGTGACACCGAGGCCCGGGACCTCAGGACTGGGTGTAGTATCAGTGGAATCTGACACCCTGCCCCGTGGGTTAGAACTTTTCTCACAGTTCCTGCCATCTCTCCCCTTCTACTACATTGGGCAGAACCTTAGGCAATGTCCTGTGGGCTGGAGCCTGGCTCGGTGCCCTGTGGGCAGGCCCTCCCAAGCCCTCTGGATTTTCAGGGTGGCTCTGCAGGCCCCTGCCTTGAGCACTGATGCGACCATGCCCTCACAGCTCCACAGCCGTCCTCCCAGGAGCCTCCTCTGCTTGCTCTGCCCACCTGTGTGCACACTCATTCCCCCAACAGACTGGCCCTATGCCGGGGGAGGGTGGAAAGTGTGCCTGTCTGCGAAGATGAAGGGAAATCTAGCAACCCTGGCGGGAGCAGCCCTGAACCTAGACACCTGCGTGACCAAGTCATGGAATCTGGGTGAGCGGAGCTCAAGGTCCAGCAAGGACCAGGTGAACTGCACCACAGGACTGGTACTGGTGCTGTCCTGTGAGGCTTCCTGGCTGCTCCGGACTGAACTGGGTCATTACGGAGATAATTAAAGTTAAAGAGGTCATAGGGTGGGGCCTTGATCCCATAGGACTAGGGTGCTATTAAGCAGAGGGGGAGACACCAGAGCTCGCGCTCATGCAGAGCAAAGGCTGTGTGCGGACAGTGAGAAAGTGGCGTCTGCAGGCCAGAAGCAAGACCTCACTAGAAACCAACCTCCCAACCTGGGAGGAACAAATCATTCCAGATGCCCGTCTGTGGCGTTTATTTTACGGTGGCCAAGCAGACTGCTAACGGCCACGACCCATGCCGCCCTCCCTCTCCTCTCCAGGTGCTTTTCCTCTCGCAGAGGGGCTGCAGCCTGGCCTCTGTGGCCTGCTCTGCAGCCGAGTCCTCCACGCACAGAAGTCCTGCGGAACCGCAAAGGGCCTAGGCCAATGCCTTCCTGTGTCCCGTCCTGAGGTGCTCACCACTCCTCTCCTTGGGCCTTGACAGCACCTTCTCTGGGCGTTCACAGGAGGCAGACGGGCTTCATCTCACATGGGCCTACATGCCCAAGGCCTCAGCTCCAATAGGGTCCTATTTCTTGGGCAGTGAGGGTGGGTGAGATTGGATACATTACCGTACATGATATGCCCCACGGGACTGGCATTGTGGCACAGTGGAGGAGTAAGCTGCTCCTCGCAACATCAGCATCCCACATCAGAACACCTGTCTGAATCCTGGCTGCTCCACTTCCTGCTAATGCGCTGGGGAAATCAGATGTCCCAAGTGCTTGGGTCCCTGCCACCTATGTGGGAAACCTGGATGGAGTTCCAGGCTTTTGGCCTGGCTCACCCCTGACCTTTGAGACCATCTGGGAAGTGAAACAGCAGATGGAAGATCTCTCTCTCTTCCTTTTTGTCAATGTGCTTTCCAAATAAAACAACACACATAAGCCATGTGCTGCAGCTCAGGGAGGGGAGCAGGCCAGCTGGGGCCTTGCTCTGTGCAGCAGTTAGCACACCTCCGTCAGGCAAGGTGCTCTGCCTGGCCTGGACCCTTTCCCCTCCTCTGCACAGGACCCAGAGGCCAGGAGACCTTGGGGACAGGTGTGCCACAGGAGCAGCAGCAGCTTTGTGGCAGGTGGGCGTTCTCACCAAGCCTCGTAGGGAGGGACAAGTCTACACATGAATCAGTGCTCACACGGAAACCTGAGTCTCCACCAAATCAGAAACAGATTTCATGTGGCAAGTGGTACCAACAACTTTTCTGGAACACAACTGTGTATCTATACAACGTGGGGTGCCTGTGACACTGTAGGGGTGGGAGGCAGTGTGGTCTGGGAAGTTACAGCACCTACACTGCTACGAATGGGGCCCGCTCAGACGGCTGTGTCCACTGCAGACAGAGACTTCCTCAGCGGGAGACCAGGCACTACAGGGACCACACGATGTACTTCACAGCAGTCTCTCCTTCGTCCTTGCAAGCACCCTGCTGTTCTGAGCACAGCTCTGGAGCCAGACTGTGGGTTCAAATCCCAGTTATTCCCGTCAGTCCGTGAAGCTTTGGGCAAGACAGAACTTGGGAGTCTGAGGCTCCCTGTGGCAAAACGTGGAGGGCCACACCCCAGGGAGCAGCTGCTGGACCAGGTGGCACTGAGGCTTAGCTCTGTCTGTACCCTGGGCAGTGGTGCTTGTGCGCTAAGTGGGGTAGCACTGAGCTGCCCGGGACAGGTGGGGAGCAGCAGACACCCCAGAGAGGGAGGCAGGGCCAACACTCTGGGTGCAGGCTGAGCCCCTGGAGGTACAGAGGCAGAGCTGGGCCTTCCAGCTCTCCTGCCACAAAGAAGGTCACGGCTCACACTCCCAGTATGAGGAAAAGCACATGAATCCTGACCCTGTGGCTCTCCTAACACCAGACAGTGGAGGCTGCCCCTCCTCCCATTCCAGTCCCCGACCTGTGTTCACTCTGACCCTGCACTGAAGGGCCTCATCTATGGGCCACACGCACACGCTGGCACACAGAACTGTCAGACTGAGGTCACGTCTTTCAGCAGCAAAAGCACACCAAGACACCACAAGGCGCCTCTGCTTGGGACCGTGGCTTTCCCAGCAGGCTGGACCCTAGAAAGGGCTGCAGTCTCGCCTTCCTGCAGGCAACCCAGCTCTGGGGTCCACCCTGCTGTAGAGTGACAGTGCTGCTGCAGGTTCTACCCGCCTGTACCAGAACCACCACTGAGACGCACAGCCAGGCCTGGCATCCTGCCTATGTGGCCCATCTCAGCCGGAACTCCCGGAACTCCTGAGCCGAGTCCCTGAACAGCGGTCCCACTCCTGCCCCTGCCCCTTTCCTGAAACAACAGGGTAAACCGCTCACGAGCTGTCAGGGTTTGAAGGAACGCGTCAGTCACGCTGCGCCACTGTGAAACACGGTGCCCTGGGGCAGGTGCTTCCCGAGACAGGTACAAAGTACCACCCAGGTGCGACTTTGGGTACCCCTTTCCTTCCAACCTGGCATCCAGAACAGCAGGGAGACTTCCTCCACTTACAGCCTGTTTATGGCAACACGTGACCTTCATTATGATATGAACAATTGAGTCTTTGGAAAACACAGGGAAGAGTGAGAAAGACAGACCTGAATAATCCCACACTTCCAGTCAACCAGTCTTCTCTCACCACAGGTAACGCAGAATTGAGACCACCTGGAAACATCAGTTCTTCTGTTCCCTGCCCTCTTCCCTCCGTACCTTGTGCGGCGTCCCTTGCTCTTTAATTAAATGTCCTTAACTCAGATTTGCACTGGCTGGAGGTCAAGAACCAGAATATTTGGGTGTTTTCCAACTCCAGCCGTCATAAACAACTGCCTTGGGTAGCAAAGGGTTCACAGGTCAATGGTCCCCTTTGCCTTGAACTTCTTTGCAGACCGTTCACTTGATCGCAGCTGGAACTTGCTGCCATAAATGTAGGAAATAAAGCCATCTATTTCCACAGTGAACACACAGTTTAGCTTGGGGATCACTGGAAAAAAAAGCAAGAAGAAAAAATGAGGGACAAAATCCTGGTTACATTTACGTAGAATATGCAAATACTTCAAAAAATACATGGAAAAATGGAATTAAAAGAGAACGTGGGGCCGGAGCCGCGGCTCACTTGGTTAATCCTCCGCCTGTGGCGCCAGCATCTCATATGAGTTCTAGTCCTGTTTGCTCCTCTTCCAGTCCAGCTCTCTGCTGTGGCCTGGGAAGGCAGTAGAGGATGGCCCAAGTGCTTGGGCCCGGCACCCACATGGGAGACCAGGAAGAAGCACTGGCTCCTGGCTTCAGATCAGTGCAGTGCCAGCCTTAGCGGCCATTTAGGGGGTGAACCAATTGAAGGAAGACCTGTCTCTCTCTCCGTCTATAATAATCTGTCTCTCTCTGTCTATAACTCTACCTGTCAAAAAAAAAAAAAAAAGAAAGGAGAGGAGGAGAGAGACTATTGTGTGAGGGCCAGTGCTGTGGCGTAGTGGGTAAAGCTGTTGCCTGCAATGTCAGCATCCCATATGGGCACTAGCTTGTGTCCCAACTGCTCTACTTCCAATCCAGTTCCCTGCTAATGGCCTGGGAAAACAGCAGAGGATGGCCCAACTGCTTGGAGCCCTGCACACACATGAGAGACCAGGAAGAAGTTCCTGGCTTCTAATTCTGGCCTGGCCCAGAGCTGGCTGTTGTGGCCATCTGAAGAATGAATCAGTAGATGGAAGATCTGTCTATCTCTCCCAGTCTCTCCATAGCACCAACTTTCAAATAAATAAGTACATCTTAAAAAAAAGAAAAAGAGAAAGGATCTCGTGTGGGCATTTGGTGCCGTGGGTAAGATGCCATTCCTGGCTCCTACAGTCCATACTGAAATGCCTGGGTTTAAGTCCTGGCTCTGCTTCTGATCCAGATTCCTGTTGCTGCGCATCATGGAAGGCAATGGTGATGGCTCAAGTACCTGGGCCCTGCTCACCCAAGTGGGAGAGCCAGACTGGGTTCCAGGATCCTGGCTTGGCCTGGCCCAGCCTCAGCTATTGTGGTCATTTAGGGAGTGAACCAGTGGAGGGAGAATCTCTCTTGTTCTTTCAAGTAAAGTGAAAATTAAAAAAAAAAAAAAAAAGATACTGTGTACTTTCCATGAACTTTCTGAAAATTCTTTGTATTAGTCATAAAACACCTGCATCACAAAGAGCAAGCTATTAGGAATCGAGGAAATCCAAAGGTAGCAACCAAGGACCGTATGTGATTATTCATACTTTAAATATAACTCAACACCTAGTTTTCAGGGTCAAAGGCTACGGATCAAACTCTCAGCACCAGAACTTCCCAGAAGGTCTGCCGCAAACAGGTTTTTCTGCGTAACTTTCAGCTGAGCTCTTGGCCTAGGCTCCGCAGTGCGGGAGGGAGGGGGGACTCTGACACCATTTGCTGAAGTAGAACATGCAGGGAAAGGATAGGAGTGGTAAAAAACTCACACCCAAAAACTAAAGCCACAAAACCTTGCCTCCACTGTGGACGTCTCTGGACTTGTGCAGCAGTCCCAGCAGTCCCAACATGTCTGCTAGAGCACGGCTGGCCACCAGCGGAACCCGAAGTGTCACCACCACAGCACAGCTGGTGGGACTGATGGCCAGGCGCTGCCTTGCCTTCCTCCCTGACTCTCCTCTGGAGGCAGCAGGCGTGGGCCTGGGGAGGCCCCAGACACACCCAGGTCTCCCGAGGCACAGCCAAGCAGCTCTTTCTTCCCCTTGGCCCACTCTGGCTGGGACCACTGGCCCCGCTCACCAATGCCTCCAGGGAAAGCCTGGGCACGGAGGGACCTTACAGGCTGTGACGTGTGCTCAGTAAGCATCAGCAGTCTGTGCTCACTCAGGAAGCCAAACCTAATTCTTGGAGGCTCCAGGGAAGGGTAAAAGCAGCAGCTGGGGAGGTCACAGCCCCAAATGCCTTGAGACACGGTTCCTACCTTTCAGGCGATCTTCTTTGGTGATAATTTTGAAAACGTGCTTTGTTTCCTGTAGAAGGATTCCTGTGACACCCACATACGAGGGGCATTTGGATTTTGTGACTGAAAGCAAAAAAGCAGTGGAAGTCTCAGGTCTCTGTAATGCTGGGGGGGGGGTGGTGTCTCAGGGTTCAGGGTGCTGGTCCCACCCTCCCAGTTACCAGAGGAAGAAAGGGAGCACCCAGAGGGTGGAGGCTCCCTAGCTGGGCAGTGACCAAGCTGGGTGAGAACCCAGCTTCCCAATCCCCTGCTCAGTGCTCTGCATCCCTGGGCTGTCCTGACTTGAGCTTCTGGGACCACAGCCTCAGGGCTCTAGGAAGGATTCTGGACCCTAGAGGTCAGCCGAGTGCCCAGCACCCCCAAGGCCCAGTCTGGCTGCCTGGAAGGACACGAGTCTCACTTGTAGGGTCTAAATGAGCATCTGTCTGTCACACACTCCCCAGCCTTGCTGCAGAGCTGCCCAGCAGTGGGTGATGTGAGGCAGGCCCTACAACAGGCAGCAGGCCCCTGGCCTCTATGTAGTCAAGAGACATTCCCTAACCACCTTCCAGTGCTGGCACCGTCCTAGGTAGGTGCTGGGGCCATAGCACTGACCAAGGTGGCCCAGGATTCTGCTGTCACGGAGCTGATGTTCTAAAGGGGGCAGAGAGGGCTGTGCGGCAAAGCAGTTACCTTTTCTGACAGTTATGTGCTGAGAAGAAAACTGGGACAGGTTAATGAGCACGGAGGGGCTGCCTTTCGGACTGACAGGCCCTTAGGAAAAGCAGTGCCTGAGAGGAAGGAATTGGTGGAGGGAGGGGGCACACACAAAGGCCCCAGGCAGGTCCAGCCTGATGTGGGAAGCAGGGAGCAAGGCCAGTGTGGTCAGCCTTCTGGCCATGGCTCTGCAGGGGCCTCTTAGACCACAAGAAGCAGCCTGAATTTCACACAAGGGGCAGCTGTCAGGAAGTTTAAAGCAAGGAAGGGGCATGACCTGATTTCTGTTACAAAGCCTTCTCTCCGGCTGTGGGGGGTGAAAGGGAGAGGAACAGTGTGTCAGCCAGGGCAGGGCTGGGGGCTGCTGAAGGCATCCCGAGGTGGCAGTAGTTTGGGTTCAGGTGCTAGGATGTGCTGCTGGATTGGAGCTGGGGGTCAGGAAAGGAGAAAGCTTCACACTTCCCAGGCTGTGGCTCTGACCCCCGGGTAAACAGTGGCAACCTCCAAGGGAGGTGGGAAAGCTGGGGTGGGGGGCTCCATTCGAGGAGAGTCTGGGAAAGTCTGCGATGCCTCCTGGACATCTCTGAGGCATTGACGTGGATGAGGAGGCTGGAGTCTGCACTGCAGATCTCAACACGGGAGCTGTCAGTCACAGCTGACATGTGAAGCCACAGCACCGGATGAAAGGGACCCTATGTTCAAGATTCCAGGCCATGGGGGAGTGCCAGCAGCCGCTGGGCTGTGTGGGATCCACCAGGAGTTTGTGTGGAGAAGGCACAGAGAGACCATTCACAGCTGCCCAACAAGGAGTCAGCCTGGCTACGGGAGCCCCCACTGCTGGAGACGTGGAGACATCTCAAGGAACCCATGTGGCGAGGAACACGTCTTACGCTGCAGCACCAGCGAGTGATAGCGTGAGCATCTGGGTGGCCATGTGCTCTTAGACAAATTACCTGAAATAATAGCTCCATGAAGATCTGCCTTTAACAGCTTGGCTTGAATCATCTGGGGCTGCCTATGAAGTAAACAGAAGCCCTTAATTTATACCATGATAAGGAGTCTGAAAGAAGCAAACGGGTCTACAAACTTGTGCAGCCAGGCATGAGACAGCTGGTTCCCAAGGCTGCATTTATAAGGATCTAAGACTCGGGATGTACCCCAAAGGGCAAGGCTTCAGAAATGCAACTCACGTGTCTGGCTTAAGACCATTGCACAGGTCCCGGATGTACTGTTTCCAGAGCTCGTGTAGAGGGAGAAAAAGACTGTACCTGTGATAAAGCCAGAAACAGGCAAGGAGTTAGGCATCCTGGACTTGGGATTTCAACACCCAAGCAACACAGAGCTGGGCAACAACACAGGGATCTGGGATCATCCGGGACCGGGTGCCAATCGTAGCCCCACTACTGAGGATCTGACTAAACCCAGCAGCTTCACTCTGGGACCTATTTCTTTACTGCCAGAATTTCTTGAGGCTAAGTCTCCACTAATGAGGAAAGGAAGGAGTGGTTCTTTGCCCCTCCATCCTTCCTAAGGGCTGGATGCAGCCACGATGGCTGGAGCTCAAGCAGAAACCTTAGCCCATGAGGAACATAAAAGGTGGTAGCACCTGGGTCCCTGATGGCTGTGGGTCTGCCCGCCACCCCAGCCCAGGGTAGGGTCCACCTGAACTTCTCATCATGAGAGAGAAATACAGTTCAGTCATGATGAGGTTTTCTATTACATGAACCTGAACTTGTAAGTCCTCAATTAGCAGGAGCTGCTGGTTGTCATGCAGGTCTTCCTGTTTGGTAACAGGTCTGTCTGGAAGCTGAGTGAGCGAGTGGTGGGGGAAGGGGAGGGAGCAGGTGGGAGGGCCCCAAAGGCCTTCCTCCAGGGCTGCAGCTTGTCTTCTGGGGAGCCTGTTTATCTGCAGCCGAGAACCACAGCTCAAACTCAAAGTGAGCTTTCGGTGTGAGGACACCAGTGAGGCAGACACAGGGCAGGTGGCAGCAACTCCTCCACCCAGAGCCCAGCTTATTTTGAGAGAGAGGTCATGGGCAAAGTGACAAATGCGGATGGTTTCCTGGGAATGTGGGAGGCCGCCTGGCTTTACAGCGCTCAGCAAAACCTACACACAGTCCCAGGACATGCAGACTCAGACCCGTCACCCAGGAGAGGCAGGGGTGGGCCAGGGCGAAGAATACAGGGGCCAGCCCTTGCAGAAACTTCCCAAGTGCGTAGGCAGCATCTTTTTCTGGCAATAAAATGCCAGTGGGTGATTCTGTCCAGCGCTATTAAAAGCTCCTAAGAGTTGTATATTAAGAAATATCAGTTCCTCTTTTCTAAGAAAGCCGAGAGACAAACAGCCTGTTGCCACAGGCAACAGACTCACTTATGGTACTGGTGTATTAGTTATGGCTAGGACAGAAGCCAAACAATAAGCTCTCCGATCTCACCATGCCTTGCAAGGAAGTCAAACCCAAACACGTTTCAAATTGGTAAAGGAAGACTGCCCCCTTGTGGCAGAAGACAGACAGGTTGCCTAAGCACTAAGTGGGCTCCCCTACCGCACTCTGGGCCCAGCAGGGTGGGCACAGCGGGCAGAAAGCCGGGCTCACCTCTGCTGCTCGGGTTTGATGTCAAAGAGCCGCAGATCCCTCCTCTGCCTGGCAGACAGGCCTTTGGGCTTCTTCTTCTTCTCCTTTGGTTTTCGGCGGGTGAAGTACTCCAGGACCACAGCTTTGCGGTGCAGCTGGTTCTCTCGGGCCTCCTGGCTCATGTGGGGCGTGCTCCGCTTCAGGAAGGCCTTCACGAAGGCCTCAGCCCGCTGGGCTCCCAGGTGCTGCTTGGACATGGATATGAGGCAGTCTGGTGCCCTCTGCTCCGGTGTGGGCAGCCCAGGGCCCCGGGCACTCCCACCCACCACTCCCAAGCCGCTGCACAGCAGATGGGCTGCCTGAGCTGACCCATCTGTCTATCCACTAAAGCTCACACAACCTCTCCTCTGCCAAGTGTTTGCCGCCCACAGCTGTCAAGATGTGAAAGTCACTCTCTATGCTTACTCGTGAGTTTGTCACATACAACAGCCATCGCAAACACCGACTTCTTGTCTTGCTCATCTGAGGGTATGCTGGGGACGATAAAAGTCCTTTACATTGTAGGCCGGCGCCGTGGCTCACTAGGCTAATCCTCCGCCTTGTGGCGCCGGCACACCGGGTTCTAGTCCCGGTCGGGGCGCCGGATTCTGTCCCAGTTGCCCCTCTTCCAGGCCAGCTCTCTGCTGTGGCCCGGGAAGGCAGTGGAGGATGGCCCAGGTCCTTGGGCCCTGCACCCCATGGGAGACCAGGAGAAGCACCTGGCTCCTGCCATCGGCTCAGCACGGTGCGCCGGCCACAGAGTGCCGGCCGCGGCAGCCATTGGAGGGTGAACCAACGGCAAAGGAAGCCCTTTCTCTCTGTCTCTCTCTCTCACTGTCCACTCTGCCTGTCCAAAAAAAAAAAAAAACAAAAAAAAAGTCCTTTACATTGGGAAGACGACTTCTGCCACTGCTGGTGGGGAGGGGAGCTGGCGAAATACATGACAAATGTATTTAATCAGACATGAGCACCTGAAGGTGGGCTCAGAGTAAAACCCAGCCACGGCCGTGAGGGACGTGACACTTAACATCAGGGAAGCAGCAGAACCCGGTGCTCCAGGCCGGGCCAAGCTCAGAGGGTGGGGCGCCCGTCACGGCCCACTCTCCTTGGGTTTCCAGCCCCGTGGCTACGGCTCAGCTCCACTCCGAGAGGTTGCTCCTGCACTGCTCAGAAAAAGGAAGCGTCAAGTGCACCCCCTGTACGCACAGCAGAGCCGACTTACCGTGAACGGGCACAGGCTCTGAGAGGCCTTCTGGGCAAAGTAACTGGCACAACTGAGTGACTCCTGAAAAGCCCCAGGCACTGCGACCTCTCCAGCCAGAGTTCCAGCAATCTGCTGCTTACTCGGCAGTGGCGCCCTGGCCGGAGCTCTCCACGGAGGTCCTGCCTCCTGGCTGGGCCCTGTCCTGGGCCCTGTTTACATCAGCCAAGCTGTCCACGTGGAGACTTTGGTTAGCCCACGGACTGAGACTTAATCTGTCAATAGTGATCGAGCCCTCCCTCCAAGGGAGAGAAACCGGCACACAGTATGGATGGCAGGAACTGGATCTGTTTGTTTTGAATCTTTGGATGTTAACTACAAAGTACTGCATTACCAACATTATTACTATGAGGACAGAAATTTGACTCTTTTCAACACATAAGGATACCCTCTCTCACGGAGAAGAATAAAGGCCTGCCAGTCTTTCAGAATCTTGACTTCAAGCCGTGGGTGGAGCTTCTGTGCAGCTGACAAAGCGTGTCGGAGCATCAGGATATAAGCTCCAAGTTTCACTTAGGGAATACGATTTGCAAGCCTTCCTAAGAAGGGAAGGGGGGCACAAAACAAGGTCACACAATGGGGCTCAGCAGGGCAGGTCTTACGTGGGCACGGCCCGGTACCCCCCAAACAGTGGGAGGCGACACAGACCAAGAAGCCCCAGTTTATGAAACCTGACTCTGGCACAACAGGAAAGGAGGCTGGCGAGTGGACCAGGCCATCAGAACAACGGAGCTTGGCCAAGCCTTGGATATCTCCTGGAAAGATGAGGCGTAGGATGTGAACCAGGGTTAGAGGTTACCTCCTACAGTGCTCCCAGGCCTCCTGCCAAAAACCGTACCTGAACATCCGATTCTTCTTCCTCTTTCTGAGATAAGCCATGGTAGATCACACCTGCAGGATTAAAGAAAGAGAAGAAGGAACGATAAACTCCTTTTGGGTATGGCTGTGAGATCCAAGGCCTTTAAGCGCAAATAGCTACGCTTATTCAGAAGCAGGAGATGGGGTCAGCACAAAGAGCAAAGCACCAAAGCTTTCTTGGATTCCCCTTGTGCCCTATGCCACATCTATCCTGGAAGACCCAAGGTCGTGTTTAAAAAGAGTGCCTCTCAGGGGCCGGCACACGCAAAGCTACTACCTGTGATGCCAGCATCCTGTATGGGCACTGGTTCTCATCCCAGCTGCTCCACATCCAACCCAGCTCCCTGCTGATGGCCTAGGAAAAGCAGAAGATGGCCCAAGTGTTTGGACCCGGGCCACCCATGTGGGAGACCTGAATGGAGCTCCTGACTCTTGGCTTTGGTCTGGATCAGCCCTGGCTGTTGTGACCATCTGGGGAGTGAATTGGGATGGAAGATCTACTTCTCTGTCTTTCCCTCTCTGTATCACTCTCAAATAAAAAACAAAAAACACGCCTCTCAAACTTTAAGGGCATAAGAGTCTCCAAGACCTTATTAAAATGTAGATTCTTGGTCTCCATCCCCAAATTCTGCATTTCTAACAAGTCTGAAAATGCTACTGTACTGCAGGTCAGCGGATCACACTTTGAGTCGCACTGGTTTAAAATGCCACAAATCCCACAAACCCGAAGCATGAGCAGTTGCTATACCTAATGAAGTTACTCACTTAAAATTATGTGATATAGCTGCTGAGGTCACATCTTGGAAATTCTGCATTTCGTTGATTTTAAGATGTTTAAAAATATTTTTCACATTTTAGTATCTATGAAACTGGAATCTACGATTGATGTCGTGAACAGACAAAACATACCAGGTCTTTTTTCAGACTCAAAACACTGATCAATGTGGTTTCAGTTTCTAAAAACTTCCACACTCCTCTGTTTCTTACTCAACTTATCTACGAAAGAAAACGACGACATTGGTGACAGTACAGGCATGAGTGCTAAGAACGAGGCCAGAAAATGTGCATCACACCATAAATCTCACCCTAGTCCTCTCGTGCTGCCCTGCAAGCAAACCAAGGTGCTTCCAAGTTCTATAAAAGTCCATTTCTTCCTCAGACGCAAGATGGGCATTACAAGCTCTCCGGAGCACAACTTGCAGGGTCTGGACTGCTTACCTGTCACAGCTGTCTAACTTCAGATCTGGAATTTCTTTTTTTTAAAGATTTATTTTATTTATTTGAAATGCAGAGTTGGAGAGAGAGAGAGCTCAATCTTCCACTTACTGGTTTACTCCACAAATGGCTGAACCCTTTATGCCACAACGCTGGCCCCCAGATCTGGAACAATACATATCTAACAGTTGTTGAACACTACCTCCCTCCCAGGCATCTGATTAACAGCTACACATATATGACCTCACTATTTACTATGCAATCCTTTAAAGCAGGGATTCCTACGGTGCACACGAAGCTCAGGTAACGCTGAGACAGTCTGTTCCCATGGGCAAGGAGTGGCAGAGACGGAAACCAGGATTCCCATCCAGGAGCTGGCGTGGTGGTGCAGTGAGTTAAGCAGTCACCTGTGACAGCACCAGCGAGTATCAGAGCGCAGGTTCAAGCTCTGCTCCGCTTTCAATTCAGCTCCTTGCTAATGCGCCTGGGAAAGCAGTGGAGGGTGACCCAAATAAATGCTTGGTGGAGCCCTGCACCCACGTGGGAGACTTGTGTTACATTCCTGGCTCCTGGCTGGCCCGGCCTTGGCCACTGGGGCCATGTGCGGAGTGAACCAGGGGATGGAAGCTCGCTCTCTCCTACTCTGCCTTTCAGATCTTTTTTTTTTTTTTCCTTTAAATCCTCACCCAAGGTGGTGTCTAGGCTCAGCTCTCCTGTAGGTCCTAAGGCACCGGGGTGGTAATATCACTCCCAGGAGCCCCCAGCGCGGTACAGCAGACAGGTTGCAGGCAGGGGCAGGACGCGGCCACAGTCACCTGGGGAGGTGGGGCTGGCTCAGTCGGGCCCTCTTGCAGCACCACGCACCAGCGGGCGGCCCGGGGAAAGCCTGCCTCCAGCCCGAGACTCCCCCCCACCCCCACCCCCAAGCTGACCGCACTCTGCGCCTCGCCTTCTCTTATATGAAGGTGGGCAGTTTCCGTGGCTGTTTTATTTGTGCTCTGCAACCGCAGGCAGAACAAGTCCCCAACCCTTCACCAACCCCGACCTAGGGCAACTTCACGGCCCTTAACTCACTTACTCTTCATTCTGGGGCCCCTTCCGGTGCGCTCTGATGACGTGTCTTTCAGGCGTCACGCACGTTTTCCCTTTCTCCTCTGCGTTTAGCCGCTCTTCTTCACCACAGCCTCTCTCGTGGAAGTCTCTGGTGGAATGATTCCTTGCACCCAAGCCTGAGCAACCCGAGCGACGAAACGACTTCTCAGCTTCTACAGGCAGCTGAGGTCTGCGCTCGGAAATGGCGCCTCACGTGACGTCACCGACGCGCGCCTACCTAGGATGGCGCATGCGCCCCAGAGCGGACTCCACTGTGCCGAGAGGCGCTTATGCTGCGGGGCGGGGTCGTGGTTGCTTGTGTTTCGTGGGGGGATTTCAGCTTTCGTCTCTTGAAGGTGGAGCCGTAGGGTTGGAATGGCGGCGTGTGGGATATTTGTGAAGGCCTAGCGTGGAGGGGAGACTGGCAGTGCTGCAGTAAAAATCCTAGACCAGCACCTGTCAGAGGTCTGGCCTTGCCCTACCTCCGCAGCCACCCACAGCGGAGTCCCCTGGAGTCGACAGCCCCAGCGTTAGCTTCTGCTGTTTCGTTTGCGGCTGCGTTGTGGGGCCGCGGGGTAAGCCGCTGCCTGCGCGGCCAGCATCCCATTTGAGCGCCAGTTGGAATTGGGCTGCTCCACTCCTGCACATCCAGCTTCCTGTCAACGTGCCTGGGAGGGCAGTGGAGGATGGAACTGGCAGATCTGTCTCTCTCTAATGTGGCCTTTCAAATAAATAAATCGTTAGAAATGATCTAAAGTTCACATTAGTCTAGAGTTGTATTGTGCAGCTAGAGCTAATAACAATATGCTGGAAGCTCACTGAGAGTAGGTGTTGAGTGTTTCTCACCACAAACACTAGATAAGTCTCTTAGGTAGTGCGTGTTAATTAGGTCGACTTAGCCATTCCAGAACGTGTGCACACTTCAAAACATCATGTGGACACCACAAAAATACAATCTTCTTGGTAATTTTAAAAATAATGAAATATTAAGTTTACATTTGGTGGTTCACACAGTCTCAGTCCCACAGAATCCTATTTTCAGGCAACTGCAAGTCTAATGCCCTTTGGTTTCACTTGAGAGTTTATATTGACAGTCACCTACATACAAAGTGAATGCATTCCGGCTTATTTGCACGAGCCACGTTATTGCCACTGGATTGCAGGGCTTACGTTCTTAAGTTTAAGATCAAAATGGCACAAGGTCCCACCGAAAAGAAAACTTGAAGCCCTGGGGACGTCACAGTCGCTGCTTTCCCACCTGTACAGGTTTCTTTCAATGGCTTTATGACAGACTATGTTGAATATTCTAGAAAAATTTTGGGACAGGCATTGTGGTAGTGGGTTGAGCCATCACTTGAATACCAGCATCCCATATGGGTGTGGGTTGGAGTCCCAGCTGCTCCACTTTGATCCACCTCCCTGCTAGTGCGCCTGGAAAAGCAGTGGAGGATGGCTCAAGTGCTTGGACCCCTGCACCCACATGGGAGAGATGGAAGAAGCTCCTGACTCCTGGCTTTGGCTTGGCTCAGCCCTGGCTGTTGTGGCTGTTTGGGGAGCAAACCAATGGGTGGAAGATCTCTCTCTCTCTCTCTCTCTCTCTCTCTCTCTCTCTGCCTCTCCTTCTCTCTGTGTAACTGCCTTTCAAATAAATCAATAAATCTTTAAAAAAGAGAGGCCCTCTTTAGGATGCTTGCATTCCATGTAGGAGTTCCAGGGTTTCAGTTACATCTCTGCTCCCAATTCTTAAAAAAAAAAAAAAGGAAGATTTCATATACAAGCTCAAAAAGGCTAAGCTACAAGAATTAAATGAGTGCCTATCTGAAAATCAGAACTCTCCTTATAAACACCACAGCCATGGATCTAATGCTTGTGACCAAACAGTGGAAAAGCTTTTTCTGCATTGCTCTCCTCCACTTTTTGGCTAAAAGAAAATGCCATTGTTAGCGGCATTTCCTGCCGTTCCTCTGAGTACAGTAGGAGCGAGGATGTTGAGCCTGAAGAAGCACCCACAAGCCTGCAGGGAGATCACTGAACCTTTGTCCTCTGTGAAAGCTGTGGTCCACCACGGTAAGAACTATCCAAGTCACATGTACATACATCCACATGCGTGTACATGTTGATACGCTCGGATATTTGTGTGAGTACGCAAGGATGCACATAATCCCCCCTTTCTTCTGTGTCTCCTTGCCATGATTTTAGCAGGTGTGTGTGAGAGGGATGAGGCTTTCCTCCTTTTCTCCTCCCCGACACCCTTGTCTGCACCGTGGCTCCGTGGCGGTACCATGGCTCTGTGGTGGTACCACGCACACGTTCAGGCAGGGCCTGGAAGAGCCAGCGTCACCTGCATCCTCACAAAGCTGGAATAGGCCCTGAAACTCAAGATGGTGAACTTCCCCAGACCCTGCTTGACTGCTGCTCTGTCCACCACGCAGTGGGTGGAGCTGGGCTGTGGTGGGGATGGGGAGGGCCTGAGCCCTGTGGCACCTTCAGATCTAACGGTGCCACAGAGGAGTGTCCACTCTGAGAGAGACGGAAGAGACCAGGCTTCAGGGTGCCAGTGCTAACCCTGGACTTGTCTGCAGGTGAGCCGTCCTGCAGAGTAAATGGGTTCTTTGGCTACAAGGTGCCTGTGTTAGGCTCACCCGTGGGACTGTGGTCTTGGTGCATACAGCCTGTGTCCATTTCTGAAGTGTAAGTTTCCCAGGCTTTCAACATGGCCTAAAGGAACAAAAGACCCCTGGTTCTCAATCTTGAACTCCGTGCTTGACCCACTGAGGGCAGCTCTGTTTTGCTTCCCGTGCTGGAGTCTGCGTGGGTGCAGGGCTCTCGCGGGTCCTAAGACACCTGCTTCACTGGGTTTAGGAGAAATTCCCAGAACACTGGCAGAGCTGGCAGGGAAGGCACTGCCGGCCTCATGGGGCAGGTGTGTGGGCAGCTCTCAGGGTCCCTTGCTGGTCCGGCCCTGGGCTCAACTTCGGGGCAACCATGGGCTCCAGGCTGTGTGTTTCCATGTGAATGAGTCCACTCTGGTCCCAAATAAAGGACAGGGGGAAAAAGAAGGAAGCTGATTAGAATTGGAATTGGGACGGAGCAAGGAAGCAGGAGGGCCGGCTTTGTGCTGCTGCAGTCTGAGGTGGGGACACAGCTCCTCTTCAAGACACTGCAAGTCGGGGGGTCGGGGCAGGGGCTGAAGCCATTGAACCCAATTCAGAGAACACGGTGGCCCTGCAGCACAGCTGCCTGTTGGAGGAATAGGTGTGCCCTGGTGTGAGAATTGTGGTACAGCAGGTGAGGCTGCCACTTGGGATGCCCACGTCACATATCAGAGTGCCTGGTTCAAGCCCTGGCTACTCTGAGCTTCCAATCCAGCTCCCTGCTCCCTGTACCCGGGAGGCAGCATGTGCTGGCCCAAGCACTTGGGTCTCTACCACTCACAGGGAAGAGCCAGATGGAGGTCTGAGCTCCTGGCTTCAGCCCCGCCCCGCCCCAGCTGTTACAGGTATTAGGGTAGTGAACCACTAGGTGGAAGATTCATTCTCTCTCTCTCCCTCCCTCCCTCCCTCCCTCCCCTCCCTCCCTCCCTCCCTCCCTCTCTCTCTCCCTATCTTTCAAATAAATAAAAAAGTTTAAGTGAGCATTTTTAAACAGGGATGTCCTTGCCCGGGGTGGGGATGGCAGTACCGTTGCGTCTTTTGCAGTCTCTTCTGTTCTTTAAGACTCCGCTCCCGGCTGCAAGTACAGAATGTGACCTCCCCACCCGCCCCGCCCTGGAAGCTGTGGCCCCGAATCCCGAGGAAAGAACTTTTAGTCACTAGACCAGAACCAGAGGTGACGCGGATGTTTGAACTGGATGCCACATCAGTCATTTAAATGCATCAAGCAGCATAGAAGAAAAGCTAGATGGAAGGAGTGAACAAATGTGAAGTTCCAGAGTGAAAAGCTACTTCCAGGGGCTGGTGTTGCGGCACAGCCGGTTAAACTCACTCGGATGTCTGCTTTGCAGAGAACCAGGAGTGCCTCAGTGGAGCCCAGCTACTCTAGCTTCATGCTGATTCACAGGGGAGGCAGCGGGTGATGGCCCAGGTACTTGGGTTCCTGCACAGATGAAGGAGACTTTGGTGGAGTTCTGGGCTCCTGGCTTCAGCCTGGCCCAGCCCTGGCAGTTGCAGGCATTTGGGGAGTGACCTGTTACGGTGGCTAGGCAGACATGTGCAAGAGGGGCCGAAGACACTGGGAAGAAGATGAGAATGTTTAAAGAACATGAGGAGGGGCCAGCGCTGTGGCGTAGCGGGTAAAGCCGCCGCCTGCAGTGCCTGCATCCCATGTGGGCGCTGGTTCAAGTCCCAGCGGCTCCACCTCTGATCCAGCTCTCTGCTATGGCCTGGGAAAGCAGGAGAAGATGGCCCAAGTCCTTGGGCCCCTGCGGCCACGTGGGAAACCTGGAGGAAGCTCCTGGCTTCTGGCTTCGGATCAGCGCAGCTCTGGCCATTGCAGCCAATTTGGTAGTGAACCAGCAGATAGAAGACCTCTCTCTCTCTCTCTC